TTTTTTTTTTTTTTTTTTTTTTTTTTTTTTTTTTTTTTCAATACTTTTAAAATATTATTCCTTCTATAATTAGTCATTTCATATCTAAATGGAAAAAAAAAAGTTTTTCATTTTTATTTATTTTTTTATTAAGAATATTTTTATTCATTATTTACTTTTCTTGACAGGATTTATTTAATATTAGTGTGTATAAGATTAACCATAACTATAATAGTAAATTAAATTTTTTAATATATGTATATGATGAATATTTATAAAATTTAAATAAATTTATGTTGTTTATTTTAATATTACTTGTTTTTCAACAGTTGCTAAAGTATTATCTTCTATTTTAATCCATCTATAATTAATAAGTTTTATTTATTATATATAATAATAACTATTATTTTTCTTATAATAGATAAATTAATTACTCATTTTTTTCAAATATGTAGTTTTCTTTTCTCCATGGTTTTTTCTCCATAAGTGGTATTAATATCAATAAAATGTCTAATTAAAAAAAAAAAAAATTTATTTTTTTATATTTATATTCTACTATTTTTATATACATATATTTATATATATATATATATTAATATGCTTTTTTTATTTTAACCATAATCTACTATTTTATTAACAACTGTGTTATTTAAAAGATGAATTCTATCAGTTATATTCCTTAAAGTATTTATAACGTTTATATATATTTTTAATTTATCAATGTTATATGTTTTGTCATTTTCTTCTTTTAACATCTAATCATATTTTATTAAATAAATAAAATACATGACAAAAAAAAAAAAAAAAAATAATAAAAGTTCTATTGTTTTATACTTTGTAATTTTATGCAGAAAAAAAATTATAATTATTTCTAACTTTATTTGAACTTAATTATTTTTTTTTATTTTATTAAATTTTTTTTTTTCATTTATAACCTCACTTATAGATAACTCATTCATAGGTTTTACAAAATATTCATCTGAACTTCTTTTAAAGAAAAAAAAAAAAAAAAGAAAAAGAAAAAGAATGTTTTTTTGTTATTTTTCTAATATTAAAATTTATTAATTTGTAATATTTGTATAGATATTTTTATAAGCTTACGTTTTTAAGAAAGCCACTAAATTAGAATAAATATAAGCATATAAATTTATCATGTGGCTATCTATGCTTTCATAAATAGAATCAGAAAATAAAAGGAACTCAAAAATGTTTAGAATAGACATTTCATGATAAAGCTATTTATAGAAAAGAATATAAAATTTTAAAGAATATTTTCTATTATTTTAATTCAATCAAAAAAAAAAAAAATAAAATAAAAAGATATATTTATATCTTTATTAAACTTAAATTTTACAAGTTACACATTTTTTTTTTAAGAAATTTTTTTTTTTTTTTTTTTCATACTGATATATAACTTGAAATACGAAAATTGTTGCATGCTTCAATATCTGTATTTTTTTTAAAGCACTCCATGTTTTTTAATTCTTTATTTTCTTCAGCTGACAAACATTCCTTTTTATTTTTATATCCTTCTTCAAAATTAATAAATCTTATAAAATATATAGTAATTATTTCTTTAAGTAATATCTCAAACTATATATAAAAAAAAAAAAAAAAAGACTATTACTATAGTGTAACTTGTTCAAAATTATGTAAAATATATATAAGTAAATTTGCTTAATACCTTATTAACAATAACATCAATTCTATCATCTCCTATATTATCTAATATATCATTATTACTATGTAAATATGCATTAATAAAAACTATATTTTTATGGTTTTCAAACCATCTGTTTAAAAATATAATAGAAAAAAAATTTTTTTTTTTTATTAATATTTAAACTTTTTTATTATCCATATTTCACTTTTTTTTTTTTTTTTTTACTCTTTTGAAAATAAGTCTAATATTTCTATATATTTTAGATTATTAGCATAATTAAAGAATTCAAATTCGCTTATATTCATTTTGAAAAATATTTTAATTATTTTTTTTTTTTTTGTTGAAAGTAAAAATGAAAATATTTATATAAATTATAATTTCTTATAAATTATTCTATTTAAAAAAAAAAAAAATTTAGTATTTATATGATAATCTTTAGAAATATTTAATAATTCATTTATATTAAGTAAGTAATAAGTATATTTTTCTTTTTAAAATAAATAATAAAATGTAAAAAATAAATAAAATGTAGTTTAATACTTTTTTTATATACTATTAGAAGAATTTTTTTTTTTTTTTTTTTGAAGTAATGAATAAAAGGGATAGATAAAAAAGGAAAAACAGTGGTCTTAATAATATAATAAAGATAATGGAAATAACAATAATTTTATATAATCTCACTTATTTTATGATTCTTATTTTATTTTGTTATTTATTCATTTAATTTTTTATTACATATTTTTAAAAATTATTTAGTGTGTTAAAAATATGTCGTTTCTTTTGGCTTTGAAAAAAATTAGCATAAAAAATATACTTTAAGACTCTACAAAATAATAAAGTATGTAAATTTTTATAAACATTTTAGATATCTAAATATTTTTTAAGTTATTTCTATTTTTAAAATAAACTATGATACTATTAATTTATGCTTAACACTTGTATTATAATTCTATATATATTATTATAAATTAATTTTTTTTTTTTTTTTTTTTTTCTTCTCATATATTTTTAGTTTTAAGATAATACATTATTTTTTTAATTTGTAAAAAATATTATATTATTTTTAAAATACTCCTATTTATTTTTATATTTTCATTTGTATTTATATTTTTTACAATAATTTTCTTATTTTCCATTACAATTTAGTTTTCCTTTTTTTTTTTTAAGATAGTAATTATGGATGGTGTGATTGTGTATGGATTTATATAAATATAAATCAATATAAAAAGAAAAATAGAGAGAGAGAGAGAGAGAGAATGAAATAAATAAAAAGAAAAAAATAAGCAATATTCTTAAATAATTAATCATAATAAAATACATTATAATTATATTATATAAAAGTATGTATCACATAATAAACTCTATAAAAAAAAATTTAAAAACAAAAATTACATTTTTATTACATAAAAATTATTAAATATAGATGAACATAATAAAATTTTAACTAATTTTATTTTAAGAGTTACTATGTAAATTAAAATGTACAAAAATAATTTATTTGTTCTTTAGTTTTTATTTTATATTTTTGATTAAAGGATATTTTATAGTCTAATTATTTTTGAAGTATATAATTTAAATGGCGTTTAATAAGAATAAAAAAAAAATAGAAATATCTATATATTAAAATTTTATTGATTAATAATCTCTATAGAATATATTTTTAAAAAAAAGTTTATCTAAAAAAAAGTAATAAAACAATATAAACTATCAGTATTTATATTTTTTTTTTTTTATTTTAAATATGGTTATTGCTATATATTCAAATATTCAAATTTTAACAAAAGTATAACACAACAGAAAATGTTCAAATACTGTTTTTTTAATAAAAAAAAAAAATGAATATATATATATATATATATATATATATATAAAATAAATGAAATTAATAGTGTTTTTATATAACGCACATATATACAACATTTTGAATATAAAAATATTTATATTAAATTTAATCGAAAATATAAAATAGAATATTCTATACAACTATTATCATAAGGTCTTTATGTAAATTTACAATATGTTTATTAAAAAAAGAAAGAAAAAAAATAAATAAATAAATAAATAAATAAATAAATAAATAATTAAATAAATAAATATATATATATATATATATTTAAGAATACAATTAAAATATTACATTGTTGAAATAAACAAAATATTATATTTATTATTATTTTTTTTTTTTGTAAGGCATAATTTTATTTTTATATATTTCTGGTATAGTTAAATTGTACATTATGTGAATATTATCATTATAAATATTTATTTTTATTTTTTCATTTATTTATTTTATTTTAATTTATTTTTTTAAATGATATTAAAAATTTTTTTTAGATGAACTACAAGTTTCCAGTCTTCCATTGTTAGTTCATTTCTAAAATATTCTTTTAAAACATCAATACTTTCTCTTGTAATTTTACTGTAAATTTTTTGATTAAAATCAAAATGCCTTCCATAAGTTACGTGAGGTTCTCCACATATTTTGATACATACTTCTTCTCCTTTTCTAGCTTTATCACAACTTTTTTTATTAGATTCTAAACTAACAACATTACCAATTTTTAAATTTTTTTCTGGTATATATAGAGGAGTGCCAATCTTTAAAATACCACTTTCAATTTTAACACCCATAACTATTGGATCTTTTTTATTAAAAACACAATCGTTAATGATAGATAATTCACATGGAAATATAGCATCAGTCATTTTACTTTGTTTTTTTTCTTCTTCTATTTTTTTTAAATAATTTGTAAATGCATCAAATAAATGATAAATAATATCTTTTTGCATAATTTCTACTCCTAATATAGCAGCTTCTTTTTCTGCTTCAGGGTCTATTTTAACATCAAAAGCTAAAATGACAGAATATTCAGGTCTTCCTTTTTCTCTCATAATACTAGCTTTTTTTACATCTTTTTTTTGAACTGTTCCTATATTAACAGCAAACACAGGAATTTTCGAATCATTAAGAAATATAAGTAGAGCTTCTAATGATCCTAATGTGCTAGCCATAACATACAAACCAACACCAGTTTTATCTACATGACTAAATACATCTGAAATATCAGTCATAACTTTTTTTTTATATTCTTCAATCTCTTCAGTATTATTTGCAACAAATAATGAAGTACCACATAATACTTCTTCTAAATTATTTGCTGATATTTTAACTCCAATACATGCTTTAATATATTTGTGATGAATGTATTCATTTTTTATTCTTAATTCTTTTAAAGGTTGAGGTGTTAACAAAGCTCTTATTACAGTCACAATTGGACCATTTATACCACATAATACGATTGTATCGGATTCTCTTAATATTCCATTTGTTAATATTACATCAATAGTAGTTCCTAATCCTTCTATATTTTTAACTTCTAAAACAGTACATTCTAATTTATCATGATATTGAATATTTTTAAGCATAAAACTCTGAGTTAATTTTACTAAAATCATAATTAAATCGGCTATACCTTCTCCTGTTATAGCGCTAGTTGGAACAATAGATACAGTTTTACGAGGGTTGGTATTTTCCCAATATAATTGGCAATTTAAGCCTTGTTCTGCTAATTGATTTAAAATTTGTCTCAATCTATCATAAAATTCATCTTGTGTATCTTGTTTTTGTTTTTTAAAAGTGTTATTAAAAGGAGACCAATCATTTTTATTCCACATATATAATCTATCAATTTTATTTAATGCAATTACAAAAGGACAATTTCTTTGTTTTAATATTTGAATAGATTCCTTAGTTTGTTGTTCTAATCCATGCATTAAATCAATTACTAAAATTGCTATATCACATAAAGAAGATCCTCTTTTTCTTAAATTATAAAAAGATTCATGACCGGGAGTATCAATTATCATTATTCCCTTTGATAAACACTTTATGCTTTCATCAATTTTTTTTATTTCTTTTTCTAATACATCTTTCGGAAAAAAAGTTGCTCCTATTTGTTGTGTTATACCTCCTGCTTCATTATCTTGAACATTAGTATGTCTCAATTTATCTAATAGTTTCGTTTTTCCTGTGTCTACATGTCCTAATATACATACTATTGCTGATCTATATTCACTATTGTCATCAGCATCATTTTCTATTTTTTTTTTTCCTTTTTTAGTTAACATATCATTTTTTTGATTTGTATTTTTCTTTGTGTTAGCTGCTGTTTTATTTTCTTTTTTTTCTTTATCTTTTTCTTTCTTTTCATTTTCTTCTTTGTCCTTTTTATTTTCTTCATCCATATTTAGAAAATCTTCCCAATCATCTAATACAATTTCTTTTTCTTCTTTCAAGTTTTCTTTACTTTCTTCTTTACTTTCTTTTTCATTATTTAATAACTGCTTATTTTTTTCCTCTGCATTATTATTGATAGCTGGTTTATTTTTTTTTTTTTTTAAAAGTAATTTTGTTTTATTAATATCGAAGTTAATAACTTCCGCTTTTACCTTTTCTTTAGGTTCTACTAATACTCCAGATTCTTTTAATGTTTTTAAATATAATTCTTTTTTTTTTTTTTCTTCTTTAGCTTTTGCACTAAGTAATTTACCTTCTTTTTTTAATTGCATTTTTTTTTCTAATTTAGCTAATCTTTTTCTTTCTTTCTCTTCTTCTTCTTTTTTAATTCTTGCTTCTTCTTCTTCTCTTTTTAATCTTTCTTCTTCCTTTTTTTTCTCCTCATATTCTTTTATCAAACGTAACCTTTCTGTAGCAGCTTTTGCAATTTCCGATACTGTTGTGGATTTTTTTTCTTTTTCTTTTTCTTTCTTTTTTTTTTTTTTGTTCTTTTTAATTGTATCATCGACTTCTGCTACATTTTCTTCTTTTGTTTTATCCTCCAATGATTTTTCCATTTCTATATTATTTTCAAGATTTTCAAGATTTTCTTCTTTTTTTTCTTCATTTTCTTTGCTTTTTATCTGTTCCTTTTTTTGTTTTAATTTTTCTTTTTTCTTTTTCGATTTAGACATTTTTGTCATTTCATTTTCTTCCTTATTTTTTTCTTCTTCATTTTTTTCTTCTTTTAATTCATCTTCTCTTTTTTCATCTATACCAAATTCAGCTAAAATTGCGTCTAAATCATCCTTTTTTTTTCCTTTTTTATTTTTACTCATTTTTGCATATAATTTAACCTTATTTTTCTTTTCTTTTTTATAATATTTCTCAATATATTTTCTTAATGAGGTTTCTTTATATAAAACATATATACAAATTATTTATTTATTTAATCTTTTATTTTTTTTTATATAATTTTACTATTATTACTCAATATTCTTCTCAGTATATCTTATTTCTTCAACCTTTTCTTTATGCAGTGGTTAAAAAAGGATGCAGCATTAAGTTTGACGTTATTCTTTTATTTTTTCTTTTTTTATTTTTTTTTGATTTTTTTTTTTTTTTTTTTTTAATCAGTAAAACATTTATCTATACTTTTTTAATTAGATACATTTGGTTTAATAAATAGAAATATATTTTTACTTTATAAAAACATATTTTTCTATTTAACTTATTTTTTTCTTTAATGCCTTATTATTTTAATTGTTCAAAAAATTATTAATATGTATATATATATTAATATATATACATATATAAATAGGATTTATTCTTATAATTTATTAAAAACATTTCCTTTTTTAAATAATTAATATTTTATATTGATTTTTTTTTTTTTTTTTTGTCATGTTTTATATCTTTCATGAAAATATATATATTTCATGCAGATAGATATTTTAAAACATTTTTATATATATATATATTATGTATTTTTATTTCATTTTTTGAACTATTTTTTTTTTTTTTTATATTTGACTTTTTTTTTACAGTTGAATTTTATATTTCATACTTCTTTCTCTTTTTTTTTTTTTTTTTTTTTTTTTTAAACGTTGTTACTATAAATACAAAAGTTCATGTATTCATAAATTTATGAATTGTTTTTTTGATATAGGTTAAATTTCCTTATTTATAAAAACATTTTAAAAAATGACAAAATATATTTACCTATTTATGTAATATCTTAAAAAGGATTCGTATTCAAATCAATGCAATCTTTTTTAAATAAACCATAAAAATACCATATTTTTTTTTCCTTTAATTTTTTTTTTATTAAAATATCAGTTATTGCATTTATTAAATAAACAACCAAATTTTATAACTTACTTTTTTTTTTATATTCTTAGTAAAAGCAAGAAATTTTAGATTTTTTTTTTTTTTTTTTTTTTTTTCAAATGTGTATATAGTAATAAGAGAATAGTGTAGAAATACTTTTTTTTTTTTTTTATTTTATTTCTTTATTTCATGAAATATTTTATAAATTAGTTAAAAATAATACTTTGTTTAATTAAAATAAATATTAGTACTATTTAATAAAATTTTGCTAATCTTTAAATTTTAGTTGATAAGTTTTTTTTTTTTTATCATTTAAAAAAGTAGAATTTTTTTAAAGGTAGAAATTGATTTAAAAGAAATGTAAAATTTTAGTATGTAGAATAAAATCATATAAATATTATAATAATAGTTAATAAAATATATTAATTAAACTATTTTATTTTAATAACTATTTTAAAAATGAAAAATTATTAATATAATTTTCTTAAAAAAGCATTCAGTTATATAAAAAAAAGAAAAACATTTAATTATATTTCTTCAATTTTTTCCAAAATAAATAAAAAAGGAAATTATATGTTGGTATATGAAGCTCTGTTCATATTGAATTAAACTTATATTTTTAATGAATACAGATTTTTCTTTTAATAAGTTATTTTTATTTCAAAGTATAATTTCTTATTTAAATTTTTACTTATTCTGTTAAATATATACATATGCATTTTAGTTTATTTTAATCATTTTTCAAAATTTTGTTTCTTTACTAAAAATCATATAATTCCTTTATTTCTTTTTTTAATAATTATTGGAATTTTAATATTTTTTGATATTTTTTTTTTTTATCCTTTAAAAGAATAATTTTTATTTTATTTTAACAATTTTACATACTTTATTGCAATATTTTTTTCTTAATATTTATTTTTATTTTTATTATTTATTTACTTGAGTTTCATAAAAAAAATAAATTTTTACTATGGATGTATTTTAATTATTTTATTTTTAATTTTTATCAAGTTTAACATATCTCTTAATTTAGTTCAATTCATTATATCTTTGATATAATTTTAGAATACATTTTTTTTTTTTTTTTGTATGTAAGTTTTCATTTTTCTTTATTTTAACCTTTATCATATTATCCTTTGAGAAAAAAATGAATTTTATTAAAGTAGAAGAGCAAGAAAAATATGTAGAAGATAAGGGTTTAAAATTATTTTATATTAATACAAATAAAGCAAAAGAATATGAATCCCATATTAATGTTTTAAAGGCATTGATTGAAGATTACGATACTATTAAAATATATGTTGTTAATAAAGAAAATATAAGTAGATGTGAGTTTTTATTCTATGAAGACAATAATCTTATTAAAAGTTTTGTAAATAGTCATTTGGGTAGTATGACTGCATTTTTGAGAAAATATATTACTTCAAATAATAACAATGAAGAAAAATATAGTGAAAAAAGAATAATAGAAAAAATTGAAAATCTTTTAAAAAATAATAAAATTATTCTTTTTATGAAAGGAAATAAGCATTTTCCTCAATGTAAATTTAGTAACGCAGTTATATTTATTCTGAATAGTTTAAAGATTAGATATGAAACTTATGATATTTTACAAGATGAAGAAATTAGAAATCAATTAAAGATTTATTCTAATTGGCCAACTTATCCACAGTTATATATCAATAGCGAATTAATTGGAGGTCATGATATTATTAAAAGTATGTTTGAAAATGATGAATTAAAGTCATTAATACCTGAAGATTGCTTTGAACATTAGAGTTATATATTATGATTTTTTTTAAAAAAAAAAAAATTGAAAATACCATATAATTACTTTGAAAAATAAAGATTAATATTAATAGTTTTATTTATTTTTTTTTTTTTAGAAAATTAAAAATAATGTTTTTATTAAAAAAATTTTTTTTTTATTCTTATATTTTATAAAAAATAATATTATAAAAATTATTTAAAGTGAAAACATATTATGCATGTATATATATTGTATTTTCTGAAAAACATAAATGGTTTTATGATAAAATTAGATAAGATATAAATATAAGAATTTATGATATATTTTTATATTAGTTATTCTAATTTTATTATAAATTTTTATATATTTTTTTAAAAGATAAAATATATATACATATGCATAATTTATTTTTATTCTAACTATTGAAAAGTATTAAAAATTGCATATGGAACATCAAATATTATTTATCATTTATTTTATATTGTTATTAATTTTGATAATAAATTTCACTTAATTTTTATTTTAAAATTCCTTAAGTATTTTGTTGTATAAAAAAGAAAAAAAAAATTATTACTTATTTCTATTCACATTTAAATCTTTAAAATCATATAAAAATATATATTAACTATGAAATTTTTTAATAATACATGTATTTTGTTCTATAATATTTTTATCATTTAAATTAACATTTCCTTTTTTTCTTTTTTTTTTTTCAAACCTCTTTTGATTGAATCTACGACAAACCATATTTATTGCTCTCATTTTAGTGGATTAAATGAGTATATTTGTATTTCCTTTTTTTTTTTTTTTTTTTTTAAAATAATATAAAAATTTTTAGAAATTTTTAATAGTTCTTTTAAATCTAAAATTATACATAATCAAATAATTTTTTTTAATATATAAATAAATTTAGGTGATATATATATATATTTTTTTTTTTTTTTTTTGAGTTCCTTTTTTAAGAAGCATATCTTAAGTTGTTAATTTTCTTAGTTTGCTTAATTAAAACAAATATATATATATATATATTTTTCATTAGTAAGAAAAAGATGAAAGTATTTTTTAAAATAGTATTTTTAATATTTTTAACATATATTTTTCAAGGGTTTTGTAACGAAACTAATATAAAACTTCACAAAAGTTCCCGTTTAATGGAATTATATCATGCAGCTGTGAAAGTTTTAATATCAAATGGTCAGATAGATGCTTTAATTAAAAAACACAATGTGGATTATTCACCAACTGAATCATTAGATGGTATATCTGATATTGAACAAGTTGATATAAGTAGTGATATTAATGATGTATTAAGTAAAATATTAAAAAATAAAGAAGTAAAAGTAGGAGCATTGAAGGGAAAAAATTGGGGATCAATAGGAGACTATAATGAAGATCCACCAACCGGTTTTTGGCCAGAATTAATGTTTTTAATATGGAAAACTATTTCTAAAAGAATTTTTGATGATGAAAATGCTATTAAAGTAAAATACTTATTTTTTGTTGATGTATTTAATGCTTTAAATAAAAATGAAATAGACATAACTGAAAATTATTTTCTGTCACTTCCAAGTTCGACAGAAGAAGGTTTAAGAAATGATACATCGAAAATATCTCAAGGATTATCTTTAATTACTCATTCAAATAAAATTATAGTATTAAAAGAGCTTAATATTAATAACTTAAATGATCTTAAATCATATATTTCAAAAAATAGTAATGTAAAAATTGCTTGCCTAACTGAAGCTAACTGTAAAGCTGTTAAAGATGTTTTTGAAAGTGGTGTAAAATATGTACACAAAGGATTTTCATCATATAGTGATTTAAGTGAAAGTGTTTTATCAAAAGAAAACTTAGCTGGTATTGTATCTGGATTACCAACAGATTTTAATGATCCTAAATTAACTATTTTTGATACCTTAATAAAAACGTCCCATTCTCCATTTTTTAGGTAGAAAAAATATACATATATATATATATATATATAAATAACTAACAACTAACAAAATTAAATAATAAAGAATAAAAAATACTAAAATTTTTTATAAGAATATTAATGTACTTATTATATATATATATACACATTTTTTTTTTTTTTTTTTTTTTTTTTTTTTTTTTTACTCTGTCATAATAAAAATGAAGTTCATTTTCATCAGGTAATTTATTCAATTACATTAAAAAAGATTAATAACTCCACATATATATATATATATATATATATATATATATATATATATATATATATATGTATATATATTTTTTTTTTTTTTTTTTTCATTTAGCTAATTTTTTAAACCCTTTCGTATTTAATGGTATAGCAATTTTTATAATTTTCCTATTTATTTAAAAGAAAATTACAAAGGTATTATCAATATAAATTAAAAAGAAAAAATTCCGAATTATCAAAAGCTATCAGAAAATAAAACTTTAATACATGGACCAAAAAATATATACACATTAATATTTTCTAGTTTTATAGATATTTTTATAAATTTTTTTTTTTTCTTTTTTATATATAGATTGAAAATCGGTTATATTTAGAAATAAATTATTTAAATAAAATGATAAAACAAAGATGATTATAATGATTTATATTCTATATACAAATATTTTTGAAGTATAATTTTAGGATATTTCTGATTTAAAATTTCTATTTTTATACTATAACAATATTGTATTTTTACTAAATATAGTAAACATATATACTAAATTACATTTGAAAGAAAGTGTGCATTGTAGATGAGGTATGTTTTAAATTATTTTAATTTTCTAATTTAAATTCTTAAATGAAATTGTTTTTTTAGTATTTTAGTATTTGTATTTAATTTTTTTTTTTTTTTTTTTTTTTTTTTTTTCTTTTAAATTTCTAATTTCCTTATTTTGGAGAAAGAACGAAAAATTAAAAAAAAATATGTAAATAAAAAACATTAATAATATGACAATATTTAAAAGAAAAAAATAATTAAAAAAAAAAAATAAAGTTGATATTAACAAAGAAATGTAGCACAATATAATGTTTTAATTTTTTTTTATTTAAATAGTATTGTTAGAAAATGTATAAATGATAATACATTTAAAAAAAAAAAAAAAATCTTTAGACAAACAAAGGTAAGCAAAATGAAAAGAAAAAGAGATATATATATATATATTTAAAAGTAAAAATATATATATATATAAAATTCTTATCATTTTTACATAATTATATAAAAAATATATATATATATATATTAAAACATCAATTGTAGAGATATATATACAATCATTCTTTATTATTTTAAATCCTTAAAATATGTGTATCTGTTTATTTTTATTTTCTTACACAAATATATGTTAAAATGAAAAAGAAAAAAAGAAATATATATTTTACAAGTTACCTAAAATAATATGCATAAAAAAAAAAAAAAGAGAAAATAATAAAATGAATGTAATTTTTATTTTATTAAATTATTTAACTGAAAAAAAAAAAAAAAAAAAAAAAAAAAAATACAATACTTCAAATGTTTTTGTTTAAAAAATCAAATCCAAGTGCCTAAAAAAAGAAAAAAAAAAAAAAAAATAATATTTTTTCTTTAAAGAGAAAAAAAAAAAGAGAATAAAAGGAATTTTTTTTTTTTTTTTTTTTTTTCCATACTTTTATTCCTAATTGTGCTACTAAGCAGTTAGGGCACAAATTAGACATAAATTCTTTTTTTGAAATTGATAAGCAAAATGGGCAATTTATACAATCTTCATTTGCCTTAATTTTCTTTAAACTAACACAGCATATTTTTAAGTTTCCTATATAAAAAAAAAAAAAAAAAATAAAATAAGATATAAATAAATCAAAAAACAATGTATAAATATAAATAAGCTTTATTTTATTACTATATTCATTATGATCATAATCAATATTATATTGTTCTGTACTTCTTTGTTCACACATAAGCAAAATTTTTTTTGCTTTTATAATTTCTTCTTCAGATCCTTTTATATTTTCATAATTTCCATTTATTAATCTTTTGGCAAACTAATAGATAAAAAAAAAAAAAAAAAAAAAAATTTCATTTACTTTTTAGAATATATATATGTATATCATTATAAATTTGTATAATTTATTTCTTGTATTATTTTATATGATTCATTTTTTTTTTTTTTTTTTTTTTTTTTTACTGATCCAGCAGTGACATAGTTTTGTGCTTTCCATGCTAATCCCATACCTCTTCTTAAAACTAAATATAAATGAGAATTTTGCAAAGAACAACATGTAAAATAAGCCATTAATTCTAAGCTTCTTCTAGGATCTTCATTAGCTGTTGCACTTCTTTCTTCTTCTAATCTCATAGCTAAAATATAACTTTTACACATATCTAAATAATCAGATAGTTCTTTTTCATTATCTGTAGGATCAATAAATACTAAATGATATAATATATTTCTAAAAAGATTTAAGGCTAAAGAAAATTTTCCTAAAGTTACTAATTTATGAGCTTTTTTTATCTGACTAAATAAGAAATGTTTTGTGATAAAAGTATTATTTATAGTTTGTTCATTCATGTTAACAGGTATTTTTAGAGGAAGAAAATTTTGCATAGGTGTTAAATAAACATATGTAGAAATATATATATTTTTAATTATTGGTTTAAATGGTTTCATATCAATAATTCCATATTTTTTAGATATTAATTTTAGGGCAGTTTGAATATTTTCTGTTCTTATATAATCAATTATTTTAGAATTTTTTTTTAAAGATTTTTGAATTATACTTTCTCCTTTTTCAATTTTAGTAACTTTTTTATTAAAAATTTTTTCTTTTTCTTCAACGTCTAAATCGATATTAATATCTTCATCATTGACATCATCTTTCCATACATCATTTTCTTCTGTAAAATCACTTTTTTCTTCTATTTTAATTTCACTAAATTCTTCTTCTTCCTCTAAAGAAAATTCTTTTCTCTTTATTTGAGAATTTATATTTGTTTCTATGTTTTGTGTAACTTTTTGATTTTTATAATCTGTATCTTTTTCTTGTTTAGATTTTAAATATTTCTTTTTTAAAATTTCATTTTTATCTGTTTCATAAGTCTCTTCTAAATTAATAGAAGGCCAATTATAAGAATTATTCCACGTTATCCGTTCTTCATTACTTTTCATTACTCCGTTTTTTTCTAAATTGTCTACTTCTTTTCTATTTTTTGTTAATTCTTCTTCAATTTTTACTATTGGAATAGGTGGAGAGAGATAATATGATTTTTTAGGGCAATAATTACATTCATTTATATCAAAATCAAATTGCTTTTCTGATATGTTGATAGGTATATTATATAAATGTGAGCATAGCAAAGCTAAGTTTAATTGGTTTTGTTGAATAAAAATATTAATTCTTTTCTCAATGTCTCCTAAATAAAGAGAATTTAAAAATATCGAGATAAAATCATTTCTTATAATTGATATGGATAACATTTTTTTTAACTTTTCTATATTTCCACTAAAAAAATATAAAAATGATAATTTATCATATGCTTTATTTCTCTGCAAAGAATATTCAGCTATTTCAAAATTTCCTAATAATAATGAGTGAACACTTAAAATATTCCATATATGTTTTTTATCAATTTTTTTTGCTGCTCTTAATGCATTATTTAAATGACCAAGTTGAATAGATAAATTGAACAAGGTATGATTATCATTAACCATTTGCACTGCTAAATTTGCAAATCCTTTTTTTTTAATATATCCTATTAAATTATAACTAAAATATAAATTTTTTTTTTGAAATTCATTATTATTATTATTATTATTATTATTATCTGTACTATAATTACCTATATCTAAATAATGATGAGCTAGCTCTGTGTCATTATTAATTAGAGCAAGCTTAAACAAATATTCTGTATCATTTAATATTTCATTTTTAACTAACTGTTGTCTATTAATATAATATATATTATTATTATAAATTTTGAATAAATATACTGGTTCCTTCATATATTTAATTAACCCTTTTTCCCCATTAATTAATATATATTTTAAGTGGCTAAAAGTATTATATATAAAAGCGTTTTTGTTATTTTCATCCCATATACCACTTTTTACTCTTACGTACTCATGTACTGTGCATAAATGATTTAAATCAATAGTAGTTATAACAACATTATATTTAAAAACAAAAGCAATATATTCTTTGATAACCTCTACAGATATTATAGTGTCTGTATGATTCATTTCATTTAATATTTTTTTAAGATTAATGTCATATAAATATATTTTGTTATCTCCAAATATAATTATTTTATTATTATTTAAAGAATAAATATTTTCTACTTTGAAGTTAATTTCAACTTTTTTATATAAATTATCATCTGGTAAATTATGAATATTTAAAACATAATTATTATTTTTTTTTTCGACAAATATATACTTATTTCTTGATAAAAATGTAGCACTACAACAATGCTTGTTTTTTATTATACATTTCACATTATCAATATTAAAATCGTTAGTAGTATTTTTTATAGCATTTTTTTTTTGAGACCATGGATTAAAAACATTAAAAGGAGATATATTAGTTTCTTTACTATTTGCGTTAATTTTGTCACATATAATTAAATCAAAAGAGAAATTTTCTTCTTCTTTATATATAAAAATAATCATAATATGCGTTGTACAGAAATGATTATAAATTAATTTATGATATCCTGATATCATAGCATTAGTATTTTTTCTTATATTGCAAATATTAGTATGCATATCTTTTTGAATATCATATACAAAAATACATTTTTCTTTACAATAAAAAAGAAGGTTTTCAAATTTATCAAATGGACTTTTTTCTTTTTCAAATTTAAAAATAACCATACCTGAATCATGTCCTGCACCAATTAGGTTAGAATCAGGTTTAAAAGATAGAACCCAGAATCTATCGTTTTCTCTTCTAAAAGTATGAATACAAACTCTTTTATTAATATCCCAAATACGA